AGGCTCAGGCCCCGTCGGCGATCCGGGAGTGTCGACCAGAAGAGTTTGCGGGGAAGAGGCTGGCCATAGATGCCTCCATTTGGATGTATCAGGTGACCTCATTGAGTCGCCACTGGGAATGACAGCAGAGTTGGTCGTCGTCAGTTCAAGACCAAGATCCGTTATGAAGATAAGATGCTCACCAACAGCGAAGGTGTGTGCACTTCCGGAGTCCATGGCTTCCTACACCGAACCATCAAAATGCTCGAGCTGGGTGAGGCGAGTACAGCGGGGAGTGGTATCAATATTGGGCTCAGGTATCCGGCCCATCTTCGTGTTTGACGGCCACCCCCCTGCTATGAAATACGACTGCCTCAAGGAGAGGCGCGTACAAGCCACTAAGTATAAGAAAACTGCGTCATCTCCCGCGGAAACGTCCATGCCGGCCTCAGAGGCTCCCTCCAGGTCGGTCCCAATGGAGATTGACATCGATCGTAGATTGAAACGCCTGGTAGTTCACCCGCCCCTACTAACCCACCGAGCCAGCAGTGTCCAGTGTACCCGAGTATAGTCAGGAGACTGGACTTCGGCGGCTCGGACTCTCCTGCGACTACCAAGGCGATGACTACCCCAGCGTACGACCATGTAGGGTGGCGATTGCAGCGCTGAGATTTCCAATGCTTAGGAGTCTGCCATTGTTGGCGGTTTCGCGGCCATTACCGTCGTTGCTGTCTCCTCCGGTCCGATGCTTCCGTCGCCTTAGTCAGGAAGAAGAATATGTTGTTGACGTTGTGAAGCATCTCGGCTGTGAATACGTCTTAGCACCAGCAGAAGTAGCGGTTCTCCCTCGCTGAGCTCTCATTGCCGCACCTCAGGCGGAGGCGACCTGTGTCCGTTTGTGCAAGGAAGGCAAGGCCGATGCCGTCTCAACAGAGGACATCGATGCAGTCGTGTTCGGTGCTCCGATAGTCCTCAAAAATCTGTCCAATACATTGCATCGTCTCGAGCACAACAGTAGTAGTAGACCATGCGAGTCTATCGCCCACTTGCATGCTCTGTAGATTCTCGATCGATGGAGGTCCCCAATAACTACGTTCGAGAGATATCACGAGACGTGGTTCTTGACAGTCTGAGTCTGACCGCTGAGGGCTTGGCTGAGCTGGCCATTCTCTGTGGCTGTGACTACTGCCCGAGCATCCCCAAGATCGGTCCCACTCGAGCCTATGGCCTCCTCCTCAAGCACGGCAGCATCACGTCCATCATCACCGCTATAGAGGGTTCGAAGACCTACAAAGCACCATCCGGTTGGGCGTACCGAGAAGCGAGAGAACTTTTCCTCAATCCGCTCACCACTGATGAAATTTTTCCCCGATCAAAGATGAACGTGGATGCTCTCGCTGACCTCCTTGTGCATCGGTTGGACTACAACCCGGCTCGCGTCGATAACATTAAAAACAGACTCGATCGCATCGGAGGCACCGCCACCCAGACGGCCGAACGTGGGAA